TGTGGTTACATATTAAAATCATTTCATTGTAATTGTATGATACAAAACATACAGTCATAATAATAGTACATGTATTGACATTGTGCTTTTTTAGAATTGTCTAATTCATTGTGTCATGGCGCTACGAGCTTCGCGAACAAAGGGATTTTATTAGCCATCCTCTGAAGCGGACGTGTCGAAGTTTCGCCAAGAGAACTTCTCCAATGAGCACAAGACCTGCTATAGTCACGCCACCCAGGCACAGGAAGAACGTTAACCTGGTGTAGTCGAGCTCTACGGAAGATTTGCCTTTTTTATTGTTTTTGTCTTCATTTGTTTCATCCGACATTCGCCACTTCTTTAGAATGATCTCAATAACGCCAGCACCATGCATTGCCGAAATCTTAAAATTAAACAAATGTATCAGCTCGGAGTGCGTGGGGAATACGAAACCAAAATTACTTTGCAGAAGTGGGAATTTCATGATGACCATGTCTGTGATATTGAGATCTTTCTTCAGGAAGGCTAAAACACTAGCCCCTCCAAAAGCCACCAAATGTTTTCGATACTTAAGTAAACGGACAAGATCAGGCATACTTTCTCTTGCTACAATAGAAGGATCATCTTGTTCAAAGCGTAGCATGTCTACGTACAACTGATGCAACAGTGTCCCATTCCTTGAGACTCGCAAAGTATCCCTGGTCATCGACCCTATTGGTGTTGTCCACCGAAAGTCACCCCGTGCTCTCATTTGCTCGTACGAGCTGATAGGCTCTGGAGGCTTTTGCTCGATTAGGTTTGCCGTTAGATTACCGGTATAGAGGGCTGAGATTATGATAGCCATCATACTCCAAGCAGCGAGTAGGATTCGGGCAGACATATTGCTTGGGTTTGGCAGGGTGCTTTGATTGAAAACTGAACCGAGAAAACCGAAAACGATGTCAACTCCACCAAACCACTTAACTCTCCCCTCAACTCTAGTGCTGTCGTCTCCTACACCAGAAGGTTGAGAGAAGCGTTCTCCCTCGGCAGAAGTCTCTATTGATGTGTTTGGAAGGCCTGACCCCACGTCACATCCTGCTCTCCTCTCATCACTGCTGCACTCTGTTTGACCCCCGTGGCTCCGATAGACTTGTATTTTGTGGTCTGTATTTTGCCCTTGAGAAGTGCATTTGTTCTGTCTTCGGTCAGATTTGATGTTTGCCCTTTTTCCAAACAAAATCTGAAGCAGGAAGTAAAATCCCATCGAACCGAGAAGACTGCTGACTAAAGCCGCATACACATGCCGGTCAAAGATAAGGATGGACTGAGCGGTATTCTGAACTGATAACCGTCTACCGACGTAGGCTCCTGTAATGAAGTCATATATCACTGGAAATGATATCTCATGTTCATAAAAGAAAGTTGTGGTTGTTCCCCAAAAAGGGCAACCAAAATCTGCCGTTTTATTTGCTAAGAGAGTGGAGTATTGAGACCATGTAGGAATTTCGCTGTCCTCAGGCTTCGGAATGACTGAGTATGTGAAGTTCAGAGTGCCTGCAATTATGTCTAAAATGTCAAACCCAAAACCTTTGAATATAAGCATGCCTGTTTTTGGATCAGTCTCTCTAATTGCATGACTTAACCAGGATTTTGTCAGGCAAAGAAGATTCCGCCCATTCAAGCCATACTTTGTGTTAGGGAAAATGGAGCTGCATTTGTCGTGTATTTCTGTTAAGTGTACTACATCTAGTAAACGTGTTCTATTTTCTTTCCACATTAGAGTATAAGTTGCTCGTAACTCATAAGTAACCTTTTCGAGCACAAAAACAGCAACGTTGTCAAAAACTGAAGTTGATATTTCGCACTCCAGTGATAATACGTTTTCCATAAACGTAGCGATCACAAACTTTGTCCGGTGAGGGAACAAAGAGCCGATGGAATCTCTTTTGTACTTTTCCTCTGCGGATTTCAGTACATCACCAGCCCGGTTCGTGGTGACCAAAACGTTGGTCATTCCGAGTGAGTATGAATTGTTGATGAATTGGCCAATTTCTGTGTTGCTGGTGTTTGGAAAGACTTGAAAAATCGTGAAGTAGACACTGCTGAAGTGCAGAATGTCTCGTATCCGAAGTGATTCAGAGTCCTCTGGGTCCGTTATGACAACAACGCTGTCAAAAAAGCATGACGTAAGATTTGGGGAGAGTGAAGACGATCGAGGTTTCCTTTCGGGATGAGTTCTTCCAAGTTTGGGCATGGTATCTGCTCCACGTAAGTAAGTCGTTGTAACAGTCATCGGAACTGCCAGGAGAAGTAGTAGCCAAGAGGCTACTCTACCAAGGGCCATGATGTTTCTGAAATCAATGCAATATTACAGGGAAGTGTGAGATGACGTTATTGTGAATTTTAAAAAAACAAACTTTTGAAATGTGGCCAATAACTTTGGGGGGGGGGGGTCAGGGGTGGTAATATGGCTTAATTTTTTTAATATATAAACAGCAGATCCATTTGGACTGGAACATTATACATGCTCTAAGAAACTAAGCCAAAAGAAAACAATCATCTTGTTATTGCTTTGCTTTGAATATTTATATCTAGACGTCAAACACACGTATAAATACTTTCAATTTCTTAGGTATAAAAATTACATGCATTGTATTTTGTTGAGATGAACCTGTCTGCCAGAAGGTAAAATGGATCAAGTTCAAAGACACGTCTTTTCGCTGTCTACCGCCTGTAGTTTTGACCCATACATTAAAAGAATAGCAATAAATTATAGCAGTGGGCTACAAGTACAACTGACGCCTATTCAGCTGCAAGTAAACGATTTGGTCTCACAATCAAAAAGGGACAGAAGACATGTTTGCAACCAAGAGGAGGCTACAGCATGACTAGAAATCGCTTTAGGGAATAAACATTTCCAAGTCCTAGTTCCAGTCACTCTTCACTATTAACGGAGAGTATGGTTTTTATCACGATTTAAACTTTCTCTTTTTTTTTGCCAAAGCTTCAAGACGAAGATCACGTTATCGTATAGAAAAAGTTTGATGAGACAAGAACGAAACACTAAGACCACTATGAAAATACACACCTAGAATGTATCCTGATCACACAGTTGAAGAGCACAAGGGGGAAACGACTATAGTTGCAAACTGAAAATTATGAGGGTGCCAATTTTAAAAGCTTGTGGACTCATAACTTCACATTTGTTTGACTGGTGGTTTATTGTAAAGTGTTGTTGAATGGGAAATCCAACAACAATAATCAACCAACAGTTGAACAGAAATACAGTTATGAGTCAACACGCGTTCTAAATTGGTACCCTCACAATTTTCAGTTGTGGCTACAGTCGTTTTTCCCCTGTAGTCTTCAATGGTACTCCACAGACCTTGTCTACACGCATTAGGAGAAAAGCTCAAAAGCCTTAACACGAAAAACGTTAGAACGATTCTTGGAATAACAAAATTATATAAACACGTGGTCTGACAAAGGTACCTCTTCAGATGTGCAAAAATGTTCCGGAGTTCTCTCGGTAATTGCACTGCTCATGCGGCGCAGACATAAATATTCTGGACATTACCGCTTTACTTTTAATGTGAGAAAACCAAGCGATTTCATATTTAGAGCACGAGATAATAGACGGCTGGAATAAGTCAACCTCTGATAAGACTCTATAATCTCTGCAAGAAAAACATGACTCCCAAGAGAGTTACAATTTTTTTGCCCGGAGGTAGGTGATAAACGATAGAAACCAATGAGGCTCGCTTCAAAAATTTATTTTATCATTACTTGTCATCAAAGCAGCTGTTTTTGTATGTGGAAATGAGTACGGGTCGGTAAGTTGTGTGTGTGTGTGTGTGTGTGTGTGTGTGTGTGTGTGTGTGTGTGTGTGTGTGTGTGTGCGTGTATGTGTGTGTGTGTGTGTGTGTGTGTGTGTGTGTGTGTGTGTGTGTGTGTGTGTGTGTGTACATCCGCGTGTTGTTAAATCTTCTCACTATGTATTGTTTCTGTCTTTTGATTTATCTGTTGCTTTGAATAATGATTCTGCTCTGTCTCACGCTTATTATAGGGTCTTCTAGGGATTTGACACTATTATTATTATCATTATTATTATTATTTATTATTATTATTATTATTATTATTATTATTATTATTATTAGTTATTATTATTATTATTATTATTATTATTATTATTATTATTATTATTATTATTATTATTATCATTATAACTATTATTATTACTTTCATATCATCATACCACTAATTGTTTACACATATACATATACTGTATATTCACACACACACACACACACACACACACACACACACACACACAAACAAACAAACAAACAAACAAACAAACACAAATGCATAAACAGCCAAACCGTATTATATCCACTATCCCCCACCAAGTTTTACCGCCTGGAATTTCAGTTGTACGAAAACATAGTATTGAGGCCTTAACGCTGCCATCAGCCATCCGCAGACTGTCTGAGGTGTACAGCCCTGAATAGACAGTCGTAAATTTGCCCTTCTATGCTGCCAGTGAATTGAGTCCTTAACACATAGCCTAGCTTCTGTCCGGAGGAAATTTTCAGTGAGAATGTGCTTAAAGTTCATCTGAAACCGCATCTACTTGTTTGCTTCTCGTTTTTTTCCCCTGCCCATGGCAATCGCGCAAGAGAGATCTAGATAAGTCGAAACTGGCCAGTTTGTCTCTAGTTCCTACCAGTTTACCACTAGTCAAGATGGCAATCGATGCTATCCAGTTATACCGCCAGCCCCACTGTACCGCCAATGGTATGCTCGTCCCAAGGAAGGCAGTATAGTGGGGTTTGATTGTATATACGAGTGTCGTTCAAAAAGTTTTTCCTCCTCTCCAATAACTTTTAAACTATTCAAGATATCTTTATGAAATTTGTACACAATTGACTTTAATATGTATATTCTCAAACCCAAAAAACAAAAGTGTACTATGATGTTACACCTTTATGCTATTGCTGTTAACATCATGGGAGCTAGGGTACATTGTCGCCGAGAAAATGGCGTCCAGCAAACCTATGAATTTGCGCTTAAAACGAAGAGCTGTTATTGAGTTCCTTACTGCAGAGGGAGCTGCACCCATCGATATTCATAGGAGAATGAAGCTTGTCTATGGTGAAGCATGTGTAGATGTAAATACTGTTCGAAGATGGGCAAAGGAGTTCGCTGAAGCCAGTCGAGCAGAGACAAATTTGCATGACCAAGCTCGCTGTGGTCCTCCCAACTCTGCCAGTGATGTTCAACACCAGGAGAGAGTGGATGAAATCATCCAAGCAAACCGGGTTATCAAAGTAAGAGACGTCAGTGAAATGCTAGGGATTTCTGTAGAGGGTGCTCAGTGCATTATCCATGATGTGTTGGGTTACAGGAAAGTGTGTGCACGGTGGGTTCCCCACATGTTGTCACCCAAGATGAAATTTAACAGAAGTCAAGTTGATGATGAACTCCTGGCTCGTTATAACCGATGAAGGTGAAGCTTTCTTACACCGTACAGTCACAAGAGACGAGACTTGGGTACACCATTATGACCAAGAGAACAAAAGACAATCGAAAGAATAAAGACACACTGGCTCACCTGGCCCCAAGAAGTTCAAAGTTGTTTCATCTGCAAAGAAAGTGCTTTGGGACTGTGATGGTCTGATTCATATTGAAATTTGGGAACAGGGTTCCACTGTCAACTCTGAACGATATATTGAGACCCTGAAAAAACTTAGAACACGTCTGTTATAAATTTGGCCCGGGAAAAAAATGCAATTTTGCACCACGACAACGCCCGTCTACACACGAGTCGACAAACTCATGATGCCATGAGAAGTCTCAGATTTCAAGAGACTTTACCGCACCCATAATAATAATAGATAGCATTTGTATAGCGCATATCCCCCCTCAACAGCAGGCTCTATGCGCTTTACACTATATTATTACCCCAGCAGACCATAGAACACTCCGAAACATTCTCAGCTTCCCGGGAACCATACAGTGCAAGCAGCCGATTAAGCGCTCGAACACTAACAAACTGACAAGATCTTTCGCTGTCTATAGCCGGGTACCCATTCCCACCTGGGTGAAGTGAGGAAATTCGTGTAAACTGCCTTTCCCAAGGACACAACGTCGGGCCCTTGACGGGATTCGAACCCACGACCTTACGGTTGCGAGTCCGAGAGCCTAACCACTAGGCCACCGACGCCATCATACAGTCCAGACCTTGCTCCATTTGACTGTTATCTTTTTCCTAAGTTTAAGGAGTACCTCAAAGGAAAACGTTAGGCAGATGACGATGAAGTTCAAGATGTGCGTCGCTGGTTCAGAGGAAAATCACACGAATTTTTCGCCGACGGCATGCGACAACTTATTCGCCGTTGGCGGATCTGCATCAACAATAAAGACAACTATGTTGAAAAGTAAAGCTACTGTCATGTAGCAGACATCCTAAGCTTTCATTTGGTATATAACTTTTGTATATACAGCATTAGTAATAAAGAATTAATGAACTTGGAGGCAAAACTTTTTGAACGACCCGTATATATATATATATATATATATATATATATATATATATATATATATATATGTGTGTGTGTGTGTGTGTGTGTGTGTGTGTGTGTGTGTGTGTGTGCGTGTGTGTGTGTGTGTGTGTGTGTGTGTGTGTGTGTTATATTCTAGATGGGCCCCCTTTCGATGAAAGGAATGATCGGTGCATTAACATCTAGTGAAAGTCATTGGCCTACTATATACTTACACTCTACTGGAACGGAGCAATAAAACTTGAGAGATGAAAAAAGTAGAAGGTCTATATCTAGATCTATACTCTCAAAACAAAATGCGCATCGCGAAATATCACTCCCAGCACTTCCGCTGTGAAGGACCGCTACGCAGATTTGTTCCGTTTCTCAGTGGAATGATCACAAAGGCCAAAGAAAGACGGGAACTTTTTGTCAAATATATTTTTCTAAATTCAGGAAATAAATAAATCAAAAAGCGAGCTCCGTCATGGGGACCTATCTATCTTTTTGCAGATACTTGCGAATTTTCAACTCTGTAGCTGTCGTAGTTTTATGGGGAGAAGTGACACAATATATATATATATATATATATATATATAAAATATTGAGTGTATGTATAATTTGTCAATGAATTTCTAGAAAAGAAATAATTCGGATACCTTGAAAAATCTCACTGATTTTCCAATAAGAACACTCTTAACACAGTAAATCACCTAGAATCTATCCAAGTTGAAAAATGATCTTCAGCGATGCTGCTGGGTCGTCGGAAACAGAACCACCAGGAATCAAACCTCTTGGGCAGCTGTCCATAACATAATTCAACAACAACAAAAATATGATTCCTCGAAAAGGTGCCCAGTGGTTGACAATACTAAGAGCCATATATCATTAGCTATCGTCATAGCGCCATGTTCTCTATCAAGTTCAAACTGTCTCTGTCATGAATGTTGACGGAAGGTATTAAATATTATATCCTCGAAGTACACTTTCAACTATTCTATCTCACATTTCATCAAGTATTAGTTTACTTCCGAGAAGAACCAAGAGCTACGATTTACGTCATAGCTCGTTTCTGGCCTAACGACTTAATAATTTGAATCACCCGTGTGCACTAGAGCAGTGCTCTGTCATAGGCAGCAGTTCACCATCGATCGTGTTTGCAAAATCAGGGGAAAAAATCCGAGAGGATTTAACCCCTTGACTGCCAGGTGAGAGACTATTTCTGGTTCTTCGGAGGAATTGAAAAGCAGACAGGAGTTAACGTGCATTTCTGACTTTCACAAAATTAAATATCTGTGTTTTCCACAGTTCACAAGCATAAAAATCATTCTTCTTTTTACTTGTTCGATTCCAGAAATGACTGCTAACGGGGTTTTTTCCTTAAAAAGTTGGCCATAGTAAGGTAGTGTTTCAAAACACAAAGCCCACAGTGAAGTAGTGAAAGGGTTGATGTCACTTGGCTGGGCGACTCGGTTTACAATAGCATGGCTTTTTCTATTTCTTGTAAAAATGGGTGCTCGTTACTCATAGTTGAAAGGTCTACTTGAAAAATACGCCATCTCATTTGCGCTACGCCCATGCAAACTCACACAAACACTGTTGCTTGTAATTGCCGTGTGCAATATCGAAAAGTTGGAGAGTTGTTTAACTTTACTCTGGGGTAATCAATAACTTCTGTTCAAACGTAGTGTCATTGTATTTTGCCGTAATTATTCTACTTTCTATGCTGTTACGCTTTATCCCCTATCTCTTTTACTCTTTTATCGTCGAAGGATCACGTTCACGACATGAGAGTACATTGAGTGGCGGAGAACTCGATAACTGATTAGCAATAGCGCAAGTATAGGGTCAAACATGTGAAAAGCGCAGCTTTTTCGAGAAAATTCGAGAAAATAGTACAAGATATTACTGAGACTGAATGTGCCACTTCTTAGCAGAATGATTTACGAATGAAATAAATTTATATCCTTTCTGCGACCTGCTCCATGAACAAAAGCTGTATGTGTGCCATTCCTTACTAGCTTATGACCAAAAGAGTTACTAACCAATTATATGTAATTGACAACCAGAATGATTGACTCCACTCACCTATACGTGGCTCGCTCGCTCACTCACTCACTCACTCACTCACTCACTCACTCACTCACTCACACACTTCTTCTCCTAATTGTTTGGCAATTGCGATGACTAGTCACAAATGGAGTCAGATAACATGAACGATACCTGAGGGTGTTACACCATGTGCAATATTGGTGAAATTGTAGTTGTCGATCTATTTTAAAAACTTAAGAAGAATTTTGTAATAAACAATCGAAGCCTCGAAAAAGAGCCGTTCTGCTAGTTCATAAAAGGTGGAAACCGAACAATTTCAATATCACAGCAATATTGACATGTTATAGGAACGATCCTCTACATTTAAAGAAAGAAAGAAAGAAAGAAAGAAAGAAAGAAAGAAAGAAAGAAAGAAAGAAAGAAAGAAAGAAAGACTAAATAGATGTTATGTTTAAACAGAAAGGGGGAAAGTGGAGACACATGAAAAGACAATAGAAGGATAGATGGACCGATACTATAAAAACGAAATTATAGAAAGAAAGCATTTTATAAGATATGCCAAAACAGTCAGTGTATCAGTATATATCATATTGTCTTATAGATCTGGACTCAAATTATGGATTCCTTCTTTCCCGAAGCACCTGCTGAGTATCTATCAGTCTAAGTGCGTGCCTGTCTATTAGTCTGTCTGTCTGTCTGTTAGATGGAGATAGAGAGGGAGGAAGGGAGGGAGAGAGAAAGAGAGAGAGAGAGAGAGAGAGAGAGAGAGAGAGAGAGAGAGAGAGATACAGAGATAGAGACAGAGATTATGAGAGCAATAGAGACAGAGACAGGGAGAAAGAGGAGAGAGGGGTGGAGGACCGTGGACAGGTAAATATCAAGACATATTAACGAACAGAAAAACACACAACACACAAACATCCACTCAGACAGACATAATAGTAGGTAGAGGGGCACGAGAAAAGGGGGGATGATAGGAGTCGGCTTGGATTTTGTTTAGAGAGGTAGCTGCAAGAAGGTGCACTTGCTTTATGACGTAGAAGAGGCACACGTTTCTTAGATTATAGCGAAGAAGATACTTATTATGATGGGTTTTTGTTTTGTTTGTTATCCTGGAGATGCACATCAGTTTGTTTTTATGACCTTGAAGATAAACTTTATGCTTGCTTTTGTGATTCTAAAGATACACATTGTTTTTGTGATCTTGAATATACACATTAAGTTTGTTTTTAACATCTAGAAATACGTATTTTGTTCTACACCCTGTCCCATCCGCAGTTTTACAGGTGTCTGTGGTGTACCGGTTAGGTGTCTCGATCCCCGAGTGAGGATAATGTTTTTCGAGCACCTCCGTTCTTCTGCTGAAATGTCGAATCCCTCTCAGCCCGGGTTGGCCTTGACTGGCAGGGTCGGAAGCCGCCTCCGAAATGGACTAAATTATGTCAATGGGGGTATAAAAACACTGGACATACATATTTTAAATTGAAATACTTTTTTTTCTCCATCCCCAGTTTACTAAACAGTATCCAGACCAACAATGTGCGGCAGTTGGGCCTTCTACTGGGCGGTCCCGTGAGCAGCGAGGACAAAGACAAAGCTTTGCTCCATGCCTGTAGAGAGGGACTTGTGCAACATGTGCTCTGCCTCCTGGACGGTGAATATTGTTGCTGTCGTCGTCGTCGTTATCGTTGTCGCCGTCGTTGCTGTTATTGTTATTGTTGTTGTTCTTGTTGTTGTTGCTGCTGTTGTTGTGTTGGTATTGCTGTTGTTGGTGTTTGCATTATGGATCCAGCAACAGTTGGGCCTTCGCCCTTTTTTCCAATGACATGTTGTGATAAGTGCAGTTGCGGTAATGTTCCATAATGAGTGTTGTCAATGTTAGGTCTCAGAGGGATAAGTGTAGTCATTCAGGGCTGTGCAGTAGAACAGATGATGAATCACTGTCAAGACGGTAATTAAAGAGAATGATTTAGAGAGCGACAAATTCTATGGACAGCGCTTCTCTTGTATAATGGTTCTCTTTTGTGGAACGACTAATTTAGAAATATTACAGAGAGACTGCAACCTTGCTATGACCTCCACGGTGATCCCAGATGCTGCTCAGTAAGTCAAGCTGTTCGAAACTGGGGCCCAGCCTTACTTTTACTGTCATCATAACCACACTGGATATCTAACACCCGCCTCAAGATGCTCCTCCCCTTCACCGAGCCAGTAAGGTGCTGTCCAGCCGAAACCTCCCTACCTCAATGGGATGCTCGAAGTGTAACCTCTGCACTGCTGTTTTGACATATAAACTCTCTCTTATTTAACAGCTGTTTGTGTATGTACTTGTGTGTATATCCTAAAAAATAGAAACATCCCAATGACTACCAAAATGAAAGTTCTGAAATGCTTTGCATGGTCAACCCTTTTATATGACTGTGAAGGCTGAACAATCACTAAAGACAGAAATGTGGTTTCTTAGGACACTGCTGACAATATCGTGGAAGGAAAAAAAAATCAAATGAGGTAGTGCTTGATGAAGCCCACGTGGGACACTCGCTGTTAGAAACAATCAGGAAACGACAAATCAAGTTTTTGGGACACCTGAATAGACATAAAGGTCTT